CCGGTTTCAGCTTGAATCGCCAGAGTTTCTAGCAAACCAACCAAAATAAACACGTTATACATGGTGGGATGCGTGAGGAGGTTACTGCATAAGCAGCTCTGTTCATGGCTTAACACTAAGCCAGCTTTAAGAGCCAAAAACAACTTGGTGAAATACTTAATCAATGGCATAATACATTTCCAAACTCAGGTTTATAGGTACGAACATATCTACAGCCAAAAGTGCTTTTACACAACTCAGAGCAATTTCAGGCTTGCTCAAAACCATGTTCAGTCATTAAAATGAAGAGGAATAGTTCTCAATTATGTAATAGTGGAAAGATCAACAACATAAATGATACAGCAGCACAAACATTTAATGTTATGTTGTTCAGTGCACACAGATGACCAAAGCTATAGCTATTTTTTGTAGTAGGTTCTTAGGTGCTACACTACTCACTGGCCTTGTAGGCCAAATGGTATTTGGTTGGTCTCTCAACTTTGATGTGAGGGGCTCAATTCTTGTTGTCTTGCCTAGTCAACAAAAGAAAAAATTCCTACATATTGCCTTACTTTTGTGACCTAATTATACATCTGAAAATAAGAGGAATTATTTAAATCTGACTAGGTCATGAAATAATCAACAGTTTGCAATGAGGCTATATGGCATAGGTGGTCATTTGGTTTGAAATGTTCAGTTCTTCCAGAGAAAACCTTTCGAATCATAGTGGTTATTTGGTTTGAATGCTTTGTTGAAGTGTTGATCACCATTATTTTGAGGTTTCATTCAACAGTGTAACAAGACTTGTATGTGCAAGTTCTAGAACTCAATTCTTCCTGTGAGGTTTCACCCATCTCTTAAAGACTTCTCAAAAACAATGTTTCCCTTATGTGTTCTTGATTGGTATTCAAAGGGTCGATCTATCTCAGCAATTTGATAAACATGGCTAGACCTCTCGCTTTCGAAGTGACTAGTGTCATTGCAACACCATCTTGCAATCTTATAGGTGAGAGATAAGAATGGCAAAAGCTCCTTACTTTCCCCTTTTCAGTTCATAAGCACCACGAAAGTATCAGGGGGACTCCGGTTTCAGCTTGAATCGCCAGAGTTTCTAGCAAACCAACCAAAATAAACACGTTATACATGGTGGGATGCGTGAGGAGGTTACTGCATAAGCAGCTCTGTTCATGGCTTAACACTAAGCCAGCTTTAAGAGCCAAAAACAACTTGGTGAAATACTTAATCAATGGCATAATACATTTCCAAACTCAGGTTTATAGGTACGAACATATCTACAGCCAAAAGTGCTTTTACACAACTCAGAGCAATTTCAGGCTTGCTCAAAACCATGTTCAGTCATTAAAATGAAGAGGAATAGTTCTCAATTATGTAATAGTGGAAAGATCAACAACATAAATGATACAGCAGCACAAACATTTAATGTTATGTTGTTCAGTGCACACAGATGACCAAAGCTATAGCTATTTTTTGTAGTAGGTTCTTAGGTGCTACACTACTCACTGGCCTTGTAGGCCAAATGGTATTTGGTTGGTCTCTCAACTTTGATGTGAGGGGCTCAATTCTTGTTGTCTTGCCTAGTCAACAAAAGAAAAAATTCCTACATATTGCCTTACTTTTGTGACCTAATTATACATCTGAAAATAAGAGGAATTATTTAAATCTGACTAGGTCATGAAATAATCAACAGTTTGCAATGAGGCTATATGGCATAGGTGGTCATTTGGTTTGAAATGTTCAGTTCTTCCAGAGAAAACCTTTCGAATCATAGTGGTTATTTGGTTTGAATGCTTTGTTGAAGTGTTGATCACCATTATTTTGAGGTTTCATTCAACAGTGTAACAAGACTTGTATGTGCAAGTTCTAGAACTCAATTCTTCCTGTGAGGTTTCACCCATCTCTTAAAGACTTCTCAAAAACAATGTTTCCCTTATGTGTTCTTGATTGGTATTCAAAGGGTCGATCTATCTCAGCAATTTGATAAACATGGCTAGACCTCTCGCTTTCGAAGTGACTAGTGTCATTGCAACACCATCTTGCAATCTTATAGGTGAGAGATAAGAATGGCAAAAGCTCCTTACTTTCCCCTTTTCAGTTCATAAGCACCACGAAAGTATCAGGGGGACTCCGGTTTCAGCTTGAATCGCCAGAGTTTCTAGCAAACCAACCAAAATAAACACGTTATACATGGTGGGATGCGTGAGGAGGTTACTGCATAAGCAGCTCTGTTCATGGCTTAACACTAAGCCAGCTTTAAGAGCCAAAAACAACTTGGTGAAATACTTAATCAATGGCATAATACATTTCCAAACTCAGGTTTATAGGTACGAACATATCTACAGCCAAAAGTGCTTTTACACAACTCAGAGCAATTTCAGGCTTGCTCAAAACCATGTTCAGTCATTAAAATGAAGAGGAATAGTTCTCAATTATGTAATAGTGGAAAGATCAACAACATAAATGATACAGCAGCACAAACATTTAATGTTATGTTGTTCAGTGCACACAGATGACCAAAGCTATAGCTATTTTTTGTAGTAGGTTCTTAGGTGCTACACTACTCACTGGCCTTGTAGGCCAAATGGTATTTGGTTGGTCTCTCAACTTTGATGTGAGGGGCTCAATTCTTGTTGTCTTGCCTAGTCAACAAAAGAAAAAATTCCTACATATTGCCTTACTTTTGTGACCTAATTATACATCTGAAAATAAGAGGAATTATTTAAATCTGACTAGGTCATGAAATAATCAACAGTTTGCAATGAGGCTATATGGCATAGGTGGTCATTTGGTTTGAAATGTTCAGTTCTTCCAGAGAAAACCTTTCGAATCATAGTGGTTATTTGGTTTGAATGCTTTGTTGAAGTGTTGATCACCATTTCGAATCATAGTGATCAACCTTTTGAATTATTATGTCTTCAACATGTGTCATTTTCTTCAGATCAAGCAGCACAGACCAAAGCATTCAATGAAATGAAGCAGACAGTCCCCTGAAATGAGTTCCCAAAAACTTGAATTATCACTATTTCTAGTACCAAAAAACTTGACTTATCAACTCTTGTTTTAATTGCAAGTTAATCCAAACATATGTCCACATAGGCCGAAAAGAAATTTTTTCATACTTAAATGCACGCATGCGTATGTTGTTCACTTATTCTTCTTACTTATGTATTGATGTTTATGAATGATGTTTATGAATGAAGTTTCTTGTGGGTGTTATTTTTGGAGTCATAAGGTGCATTGATGTTTATGAATGAAGTTTCTTCATTTCTTTAGAACCATAGACATTCATAGGTCACTAAAATCATAGATTTCACCTAAACTACTTTATGAATTATGTTACCAGCATTGATAAAAACAATTAATTGTGAAAGTGACTACTTTATTGCAACTATTGTTGCTGCCCATTTGCTTGGCCTTTTTTAGGGCCATATTATCAGGCTATAAAACCACCAAATGAGCCCTTTTTTTCACGTAGAAAATAAACGTTTAGCATGTTTAGGGTAGTTTATTACACTTTCTCTACTATTTTCAAACCCTAATTAATGTAATGGTTGTCTTTAACCTTTCAAATGGCCCAAATAGACAAGGGTTGGATGACAATAAAAAATAGATTAAGCAATAGGGAGTATCAAAAAGGGGTGAATTCATTTATTGAATTTGCAAAGATAAATGTAGGCTTCGAGGATAAGATTCGGTGTCCATGTATCGATTGCTTGAACGACAAAATACATACAAGCCACGTGGTAAATATTCATTTGATTCAAAGAGAGATATCTATTTCTTACAAGACTTAGGTGCACCATGGGGAACTTGTTCCCGTGACTCAACCTCTCATACCAAATGAAGGTCACCATGTCATATATAGTGAAATTGTAGGGGAAGATCAGGATGTTGGGGATGATTTGCCTACTATGTTGGAAGAGGTTTGCAGGGGTTTTGCAATGGATGAGGAAGGGGACAAATTACCTGCTAGTTTTGAGAATGTGGAGGGGCGCAACTTTGATAAATTATTTGAAGATGCTCAACATAAACTATACCCGGACTGCACAAGTTTCACTGTGTTGTCATTTGTTATTAAGATGCTTCACATTAAGGTGTACAACAAGTGGAACAATAACTCATTTGATATGGTTATGAGAGTTTTCAAGGCTACTCTACCCGAGTGTGATGAGACTGTTCCATGGACCATATATGCCACCAAAAAATTCTTACATGACTTGGGTTTGGGCTACGTTCCCATTCATGTGTGTAGGTATGACTGTGCATTATTTTGGAAGGAGAATGCAAATCTTCATAATTGCCCCAAGTGTAAAGAGCCTAGATACAAGTTGGACAACAAAAAGGGTAAGAAGATCCCTCATAAGATATTGAGGTACTTTCCGTTGACACCAAGATTGAAGAGATTGTATATGTCCAAGAAAACCGCTACATATATGAGATGGCACAAGGAGAAACGTGTGGATGATGGAATATTAAGGCATCCGGCTGATGCTGAGGCATGGAAAGAGTTTGATCGGCAACATCCTATGTTCGCCATGGATCCACAAAATGTAAGGCTAGGGCTCACCACCGATGGTTTCAATCCATTTGGAAATATGAGCACATCATACAGTTTGTGGCCCGTTATCCTAATGCCTTACAACCTTCCACCGTGGAAGTGTATGAAAGAGCCTTTCTCCATGATGTCATTGCTCATTCCTGGACGATCGGCACCTAGAAGAGATATTGATATTTACTTACAGCCATTAGTTGATGAGTTGAAGGAGTTATGGAGGGATGGGGTGCAAACTTATGATGCCAAAAATGAACAATCATTTAGAATGCATGCTGCAGTGATGTGAACCATCAAAGACTTCCCTGCATATGGTAACATGTCCGGGTGGACTACCAAAGGTTATTTGGCTTGTCCCACTTGTAACAAGGACGCATCATCACAAAGGTTAACAAGTAAAATAGGGTACATGGGTGCTCGTCGTTACTTGCCCGAGAATCACAGATGGTGAATGAGCAAGTTGTTTAACGGACAAAATGAGGTCAGGTGCAGACCTGTGGAGTTTTTAGGGGAGCAAATATTAGAGCAGATTGAGACTGGGACATACAAGCCATTTGGAAAACATCCAAATAACAGGAAAAGACAAAGGGACGAAAATCCAGTGTTCAATTGGACAAAAAGAAGCATTATGTTTGAGTTGCCTTACTGGAAGACGCTTAAGCTTCGACACAACCTTGATGTCATGTACATAGAGAAGAACATTTGTGACAATTTGATGGGGACACTATTAAATGTTGATGGGAAGAACAAGGACACAGAAAAAGCATGGATTGATTTGGAAAATTTAAAAATTAGGAAGGAGTTACACCTACAGAGGCGTGGAGATGGGTCATTTGTGATGCCGCCAGCTGTGTACACATTATCCACAAAAGAAAGACAAGGCTTTTGTGCTTTTTTGAAATCAATCAAGTATCCTGACGGTTATGCAGCAAACATCTCCAATTGCGTGAATGTTGATATTGGCAAAATCTCAGTCCTCAAAAGTCATGATTGTCATGTGCTTGTACAACGACTACTTCCGGTTGGGATGCGTGGGTATCTTAACAATGCAATTGGTGCAACTCTTTTTGAGTTAGGAAATTTCTTTCAACAATTGTGTTCAAAGACGTTGAAGGTGACAGATTTAGAGAAACTACAGGATCAAAGCGTACTCGTACTTTGCAAGCTTGAGAAGATTTTCCCTCCAGCTTTCTTTGATGTCATGGTTCACTTGGTTGTTCATTTGCCGTGCGAGGCTATACTTGGAGGGCCAGTGTAATATCAATGGATGTATCCAATTGAACGGTAATTATTTATGCTCTTACCATATCACGCTCATCAACCATTAATGGTAGTCCATATTGTTGTTTAGTATGGACGTAATAAAATTTTTCCCTCTTGTAGGCTACTTGGAATTCTAAAAGGATTTGCTGCCAATAAAGCTCATCCTGAAGGTTCAATTGCGGAGGCATACATTTCCAAAGAGTGTACAACTTTCAGCTCAATTCATCTTGATGGAATTGAAACAGTGTTTAATCGAGAAGAAAGGAATGATGACGGTGGTGACCACGGCTCAAGGTTAGCCTTCTTCTCTCAAAACGTTCGTCCATTTGGTCTAATCAGTAGGGCACCAGATGTGTCTGTCAACGAACGAGAGATTGCTCACTGGTTTGTCTTGTACAATAGCTTTGAAGTGGAGCAGTACGTAGAGTAAGTTTTCACAATATAAAGAATTTACAGAGCAAATTTAAGCTTGTCCAATTATTCGTAATTATCTCTCTTACTTATCTACTCTTCTTATTAACTAGGGAACACAAGAACATTTTGCAAAATGGAAGTACATGTGACACCACAAAGAGGCAACGAGATGAATTTCCTAAGTGGTTCAAAGAACGTGTAAGACATCTATTTATCAAACATTTGAGCACATTATGCTATAATCACCTTCAAGAAAGTAACATAACAAGTATTGCTTATGTAGACAAATCAGTTACGAAATCAAGGGTCGCCGGAAGCAACTGATGAATTGTGGTCGTTGGCGAACGGTCCTAGTGCAATAGTCAACACATATTCGGGATGTGTTTCTAATGGTGTTCAATTTCATACCATTGACCGTGATAACCGTCGTAAAACTCAAAACAATGGGTTGGTTGTAGAAGGGGAGCATGAGGGTCGTTCAATGCATTTCTACCGTTACTTGAGCAAAGTGTGGGAAATGACATATTTGTTTAGACATCAAGTTCTTTTGTATAAATGTGAATGGTATAACACCGGTAGCAAGAAGACTTGTCTCATGGATACACATGACCCCTTCATATTCTCAACTCAAGTAGAACATGTATTCTACGTTAATGATACCAACTTAGGTGGGAATTGGAAAGTTGTAGAATGATTCCACCATCGAGGAATCTGGAATGTGCCAAAGATGGATGGTGTACCTGATGATGTTCTCAATAGTGTGTTCCAACAAGACGAAACCACCGAGGTTGTAACAATTGTGGACAACAATGGTATGCAATTTGAAGACGGTGGCGATGAAAGGGTTTTGTGTAGAGATGATATTGAATGTGAAATTATTCCAAATACAATGGTTTTCCAATCTCGTAGTCAAACACAAGTCGAGGGTGTTGATGATGCTTTCATTTGTGATAGCGATGCAGATGACTTCGTTGAGGATGATGATGATCAAGAAGAAGACGAATTTGACATTGTTTAACTATTTAAAGCATGACGTAGAACCTTCATGTATTTATTTAGTACACACTGATTGTGGAGATACTACCATAGTTTTTGTTATCTATGTCGTCAATATCACTTGCAAATTTACATAGATGGATTAATATATATATGAAATTAAGATGCTTCATGGATGTTCATTTCTTACATAAATGTTTGTTAATTATCAATCTTGATGTATATGTCTATACGCATTAAAAATTTGTGCTTATCCATGTGCTCATTGTGCTCTTTGCCTTTTATTATGTTAAAATGTAACAGAATGGCTCCTGCGAAAAAGATGCACCATATTCCTTTACCAAAGAGGGCATTAATTGAACCATACTCATCCCCGACCGATACACGTACACCTGCTCTTGAAGGTGTTGCAGCAGATGGATCTCAGTCTATTGCACCATCTCCATCTGAAAGTAATGCATTGTCAAGATCTAAGACTGTTACACCATCTCCATCTGAAACTAATGCACGAGCTGATCCATTTATGCAATATCGATGGACTGTTGCTAATCTAGCGACAAAAGGGGCTGTTGTACAAGCTGTCCAGGTATGATTCAATTGCTTTCATAGTGTGGATGATGGAAATAGTCCTATTTTCATTTGCATATAGGAGCTCATTTGTTTTCTTTGTTTACTTTGTTAGTTATGAAAGCTTGAAAAAGTCTAATTACACATTCACATGCAAAGTGTTTAAAAGAAAAACCAACAGTCATGTCAAGCCTTAGTTAACATCTGGTAACAATATAATCATTCTGGACAAAACTATCGACACTCCAAAGTCCAAACCCCCAGCCAGCTAACAGAACCAAATAATTGTCATGCCCAGCTCTGTCCACACCAGTTTGGCAAAAAAAAATTAGGATTTTTACCAGTTAGAACTTTCTCTGTCATATCAAAAATTAGGATCTTTAACCGTTAGAATTTTCGATATTTTATAATAGAAATTAATGTATCACATCTATAAGGGTAATAATAAAACTAAAAAGTATAAAATATGGAATTTAGGATTTGGTGGATTAACTCTCCCAAGTAATAAGATTTATTGTTAAGATACAAAAATATGCATAAAACTAATTAGGATACAAGTATGTAAAAATGTATTCACTATTAAATTGCCTTTAAAAGAAAAAAAATAGAGCTTACTGCTAATATATTGGAGAAGCTGTTCTTTAACTCCCATGAAGAAGGTTTTGATTGGATGAATGTTTTCCAATAAAATATGACAAACTCATATCTTTTTTGTCTTTTTTCTTTTTTTCCTTTTATAACTCTAAGGCAAACTCATAGTCAATAGCACACTTGGCTCAAATTGAATAACAGTTTAGTTATTGTTAAAGAACATTCTTTTTGTAGGATTTAGGAGCTTAGTAGGTGAATGCAACTAATCACTTTTTTGTGCCATCGCCTAGCTAGCTGTTTCTTTTGTTAGTTTTTGTTTGGTGTTGTGTTTTCAGTATTCTGTTACAGATTCTCTAGTGCCCTTGGCCCTCTTGGGTTTGTATTGGGTGCTCCCTGGAGAATACCCAAAAAAAATACCAGCAGACTTGCCCTGACCAGTGCAGGTTGAGTGTGAGTGGAAAACAAGCGGGTTGGACTGGCTGCAGTTAAAAAATCTCAACCCATCATTACCCCGACTTGACATGCAATATATATTATGTACACACCCATCCACACAATCCTTATAACAACCATAACTCTAGTCTACTTCAGAGATATTTTCTCCTCTCATTTTTTCACTTCTCTCTAAAGTCCAACACCACAAGATGATTGATGCTCATCGTGCATCGAGTCACACGACCACCTTCAAGGCCCTCCACCAACAACCAAATGAGCAAACATTCCAAGGCATGACCCTCTCTCTTTCTGAAATTTCTCTATCTCTCTGCCTCTGCATCTCACTCCCTTGCTCTTCCCTTACCACCCTTGAACCCCTTCCCCACTCTTCATCTCCCTTCTTACTGGACCTCTTCCCTCGTAGTCCTCCTCTCCACTGCATCTCCACCTTTTTCCTCATTCTTCTCAATCTAACTATGCGTATTATGTGACCTAGACCTACCCACACACAATCCTTAACCCAGCCATAACTCTCTCTCTCTCTCACACACACACACACACACACACACACACACACATACACACACCTTTTAGACTATCCCTATTAATGTGAAATCAAATTAAGTTTTCTTAAGATGATCTTGCTTCATTAGACATAACATGATCAGATGAAGATTAGTTTTCTAAATTTTTGTTTTTAATAGTCATATTAACTGTTCCTCAATATGTGTTTTTTCTTTTTTTCATTATGGATTAGTTTTCTTAATTTTTGTTTTTAATAGTCATATTAACTGTTATATGTGTTTTTTTTTTTCATTATGGTTCTAGCTGAATGAGTTCATTAAGGTTATGGTACTCCTTAAATGATAATGGCATCAAGGCTAGGGTTCATTTTTGGATTGCCAATTTATTTGATCAGTTATACACGGTCGGATTGCAAAAGCTTTTTAATTTTTTTCATCTTGCCATTTAGAAACTAAAACAATGAAGTTTTCACTTTTTAAGGAAATCACAAATCCATCACAAGTTCGCTTCCTCTTTTCAGGTTTTAATTATGTGTGCGTAGATTTTTTAATTTTTTTTCCTGAATTGTTTGTTTTATATATTTATCGGGGGAAATGTCCATATATAGAGATCACTACTGATTTATTTGAAAATATTATTAGTTAATAATAAGTCATTGTGAATATTGCAAACTCTATTATGCAGATATGATATTTTGGTATATTCGGCTAGTTTAATTTTCTTTACATGTCTTCTTACTTTCCCCATTGCCTAATAAATCTATTCAGTTCTTCTCTTCTTCTTTTTTTCCTTTTTCGTTCTCTTTTTTGATTGTTTAGACTGGAAAATGAACTAAGAATTGTTATTGTTTCCTAGTAACAATACTGCTAAGAAGTATTCTTCTCTTAGATATCTGTTTGTGAAGTTACAGACTATCATTTGCCTCTCATCTAGCCAGCTGACAGAACCCCAGCCAGCTGACAGAACCACGTAATTGTCATGCCCAGCTCTGTCCACACCAGTTTGGCAGAAAAAAATTAGGATTTTTACCAGTTAGAACTTTCTCTGTCATATCAAAAATTAGGATCTTTAACCGTTAGAATTTTCGATATTTTATAATAGAAATTAATGTATCACATCTATAAGGGTAATAATAAAACTAAAAAGTATAAAATATGGAATTTAGGATTTGGTGGATTAACTCTCCCAAGTAATAAGATTTATTGTTAAGATACAAAAATATGCATAAAACTAATTAGGATACAAGTATGTAAAAATGTATTCACTATTAAATTGCCTTTAAAATCCAAATAACAGAGCTTACTGCTAATACGTTGGAGAAGCTGTTCTTTAACTCCCATGAAGAAGGTTTTGATTGGATGAATGTTTTCCAATAAAATAAGACAAACTCATCTCTTTGTTGTCTTTTTTCTTTTTCCCTTTTGTAGCTTGAAGGCAAACTCATAGTCAGTAGCACACTTGGCTGAAATTGAATAACAGTTTGGTGCATTGTTAAAGAACATTCTGGGGTTAATTTCCCTTTTAACAGTCATATTAACTGTTCCTCAATATGTGTTTTTTTTTTCATTATGGATTAGTTTTCTTAATTTTTGTTTTTAACAGTCATATTAACTGTTCCTCAATATGTGTTTTTTTTTTCATTATGGATTAGTTTTCTTAATTTTTGTTTTTAACAGTCATATTAACTGTTCCTCAATATGTGTTTTTTTTTTCATTATGGATTAGTTTTCTTAATTTTTGTTTTTAACAGTCATATTAACTGTTCCTCAATATGTGTTTTTTTTTTCATTATGGATTAGTTTTCTTAATTTTTGTTTTTAACAGTCATATTAACTGTTCCTCAATATGTGTTTTTTTTTTCATTATGGATTAGTTTTCTTAATTTTTGTTTTTAACAGTCATATTAACTGTTCCTCAATATGTGTTTTTTTTTTCATTATGGATTAGTTTTCTTAATTTTTGTTTTTAACAGTCATATTAACTGTTCCTCAATATGTGTTTTTTTTTTCATTATGGATTAGTTTTCTTAATTTTTGTTTTTAACAGTCATATTAACTGTTCCTCAATATGTGTTTTTTTTTTCATTATGGATTAGTTTTCTTAATTTTTGTTTTTAACAGTCATATTAACTGTTCCTCAATATGTGTTTTTTTTTTCATTATGGATTAGTTTTCTTAATTTTTGTTTTTAACAGTCATATTAACTGTTCCTCAATATGTGTTTTTTTTTTCATTATGGATTAGTTTTCTTAATTTTTGTTTTTAACAGTCATATTAACTGTTCCTCAATATGTGTTTTTTTTTTCATTATGGATTAGTTTTCTTAATTTTTGTTTTTAATAGTCATATTAACTGTTCCTCTGTTTTTTTTTTTTCATTATGGTTCTAGCTAATGAGTTGATTAAGGTTATGGTACTCCTTAAATGATAATGGCAGCAAGGCTGGGGTTCATTTTTGGATTGCCAATTTATTTGATCAGTTATACACGGTCGGATTGCAAAAGCTTTTCAATTTTTTTCATATTGCCATTTAGAAACTAAAACAATGAAGTTTTCACTCTTTAAGGAAATTACAAATCCATCACAAGTTCGCTTCCTCTTTTCAGGTTTTAATTATGTGTGCGTAGATTTTTTAATTTTTTTTCCTGAATTGTTTGTTTTGTATATTTATGGGGGAAAATGTCCATCTATAGAGATCACTACTAATTTATTTGAAAATATTATTAGTTAATAATAAGTCATTATGTGAATATTGCAAACTCCATTATGCAGATATGATATTTTGGTATATTCGGCTAGTTTAATTTTCTTTACATGCCTTCTTACTTTCCCCATTGCCTAATAAATCTATTCAATCCTTTTATTTTTTTTCCCTTTTTCGTTCTCTTTTTTGATTGTTTAGACTGGAAAAAAAACTAAGAATTGTTATTGTTTCCTAGTAACAATACTGCTAAGAAGTATTCTTCTCGTAGATATTTGTTTGTGAAGTTACAGACTAT